AGAGAGAGAGAGAGAGAGAGAGAGAGAGAGAGAATTATCATGGAATTCACTAAATAGATGGATAATTTTTTAGTTATTTTATCAGTTTTTAATTACAGTAAATATTTGTCTTAAAACTCTTTAAAACGCCTTTTGAATGATAATACAATTTACGCAATTCTTATTCAACTGTCATTCATAAAAGTGTTTGTAATTAGTTTTTTATCAAAACACAAATCTTTCACAAATATACATGTATTTATCAATTATATGTATAATTAATTAAATAAACAATTTATGAAAATAGCATTTCCATTGAATGGGACGTCACTGTAAGGGCAATAGTGTAGTCGAAGGGCAGGACTTGACAATCAACTTATTTAACTGTATTTTCCATTTAAAAGTTTGTTCAGTTAACAGATTTTGCTCATCAGTTATCACACGACTGGTGTAGTTGTGTCACACTTACCACTCCTCTCGTAAACCTATGGTAACAGTCCATAGGCTTTAGTGGTTGAGCAAAAATGCGGTCATATGTGTGGCCACTATTGGTGGCCGCGTTTATGGCGGGCGCCGACGGCCAGTACCTGACAAAAGCCGAGCGCAAGTTAAAAGTGAATTCGTTGGACTGTTTTCATACATACAATGAGAGTATTTATGAGTACGAGTTCGAGACAATCGATGGCCAGCGGAACGTATCGCTCGGCGATTACCGCAACCATACGCTACTCATCGTAAACGTGGCCACTTTCTGAGGCTACACCTATACGTACCCACAGCTGAATGCACTCAAACAGCAATTTTCAAACAAATTATTTGAAATCATAGCCTTTCCATGCAATCAATTCGGAATGGTTTGTATAGAGTTTGCGTTCATTTATGTAATTTGTTTAGTAATGTGTGATTTGATTGCATTCACCTGAACAGCAAGAACCGGGCGGTTCGGGCGCCGAGATTCTCAATGGCATCAAATACGTGCGTCCGGGCAATGGATTTGAGCCAAACTTTTTATTTTCCAAAAAGATTGATGTGAACGGCGATAAAGAGCACCCGATTTACTCATATCTTAAGGTATGAATTCAATTGAATGACTAATGTGTAGAAAAACAACAAAATTTAAAATAAATTATACAATATTTTCAAGAATTATAAACAATAATGTATTGAAAAATATTACCTCTTCTTTATGTGCGGAAAAACTCGTTTTTGTTATTTAGTTGAGAAGAAAAAACTTGTTTTTCACATAAAAATCTCTTGTTTTTAACGATTTGTTTGTCTTGTGATCAGAGATCCTGTCCTTCAACTCAAACTGAATTCAGTGGAAGAGATCGACTCTTTTATGATAAACTACACGTACGGGACGTGCGATGGAATTGGGAAAAGTTTTTAATACATCCCACTTCTGGACAACCCATCAGACGATATGACGCCAGTCTTGAGCCCCACAACATCGCCACTGATATCGCGAAGATTGCCTTAAACCGCACCACAACTGGTCCTATCAATAACGCCATTCAGACTAGACTTTAATCAACTTTAAAATACTTTTGTATACAAACTCTCAGACTCTTCACAACTGATTCCTATTTATGTAATTTTTTAAATATTTTAGTTTTATATTAATTTTTTTAATGATTTTATATGAATTCAATAATTGATATGCAATTTAATGACAAATTGTTTTAAAATACTTAACAAAAGTAGGAAACAATTTTGATGGACGACATAAACGAATGGATTTGTTTGTTATAATCCAATAGTTATAATAACTTCCTTTACCATCAATGAGTGCATTCATTATTATAGCCATTGATATTTCAAATACCCATTTGTTAGTTGTTTTGTGTAATTAATTATTGATTATTTAAAAATCTAATAAAAATATATACAATTATAAACATAATTAAGCATTTATTCAATTCAGTAAACATTATATAAACGATTAAATAAATTATTTTGCGAATTAAATGAGTTGCGAAAGAAATTGAGTACAAAATCAATATTAATTTCATTTTTGCTTTTTAAACACTAATGACTTTTCGTTTAAAATTTGACAAAAAGTCAATTAAAAGACAATTTAATAAACAATTGACACAAATTTATACAAAAAAGTTCATAAAAATAAATTTTTATTATCGTTTCAAGCAATTGGTTCACATAAACAGTCTTTTCCTTAAATTTTCATCAATTTGTTTGAAAACAATTTTTTCGTTTACTTCTAAAACAAAATTCGTTTTCGTTTCGGAAAAATCAGTAAATGAGTGAAAAAATGAGACTTTTTTCAAATGTTCACATTTTTTCAACTCATTTAACGAGACGTCCGTTAGTTTAGCGCTCGATATCTCCAGAAACTGGATTTTAGGCACATTTTGTGCAAAATTTGCGAACAATTTGTCGCAAAAGACGGCTTCAAAATCTTTGGTGTGAATAATAATCGATAGACTCTTCAATTGTTTCAAACGGCACAACAAATCGAATCCAATGCCTGACTCTTTGGGCGCAAAATTCAATTCAATTTCTAAATTCTTGAGATTTTCAAACGTTTCGTTGATTTCCATCAAAATCTTCGTTAAATGCTTTAAAGAGAAAGCGTTGGCGCGAAGAGTGAGACTCTGGATGTGCGGGCATTTGCGGCCGATTGCGGTCAGCGGCCACCGCACGCCTACTGTCATGCACTCCAGTCTGAGTCGACGCACTCGCGAGCATTTGGACACTTGTCGGGCCACTACTGCCAGAAGGCGTTTCCGCGCGAAGAGCTGATCCACTCGTATCTCAACGTCTGTAATGACGTGACGACACTCTTTGAGCACTCGTTTGAATGGTTTGATGTCTTTGTCAGAGACGGTGAGCGACAGACGTGTGTCACGTGACTCGTCCTCTTCTGGTTGTTGTTGTCGTTGACTTTCGTCGCAAATCTCTTGGAATTGTTTGGAAACACACTTCAAACGAATCCTCTCCTCGACGGTCAGGAAAGCGAGAATTTGTTTCTGAAGACAAACACAGAGTCGAGAGAAAGAGTCCATTGTTTACATGAGAAGAGAGAGAAAGAGAGACAGAGAGTGAAAGTGAGAGCCGTTTTGTGACAACACATGTCTTATATACGGGTTTTTCGGTCGACCTTTCGTTCCACTCAGAGTTCACTCACTTCTTGCAAACGCCAAACGAGTCGTGACGTCACGACAGGTAAGAGTCGGGGCTTTTGTCTCTCCCCATCCACTGCTCCCCCGAAACCCCCGTTATATACATATTAACTGTTTATCTGTTTTAGTGATCAAAATATGCGATTAGAAAACGCCTTTAAATGGAGAATAAAACCGTTATTTTTGGTGGTCTCGAGGGGTATGTATTCCTCCGCTTCTTCACCATCTAATCACCATTTGATTCCCCCTCTCAGAGGCGCCTCCAACTCAACGTTGGTCTTAGTGTCAGCCGACGGACACGTTTTGGCAGAAGTGGCGTCAGAACTGTCGACCAATCATTGGGTATAACTATCTCTCATTCACTTCACTCTCTAATGGTTTGACAATCAGATGATAGGAATCGATGAATGTTTCCGACGAATCGCTCAAATGGTGACAAATGCGCTCAAAATGGCATCACTTCCAGAAGAGACACAACTCTCGGCGATCGGTCTCTGCCTATCGGGTTGTGAAGACGAAACCGTCAACAAAGAGATGTCCGACAAATTCATACAACAGTATCCGTCTCTCGCGGACCAGTGTTTTGTCGCTTCAGACACTTTAGGCTCTCTTCTGACGGCAGCGCCGGACGGAGGAGTCGTTTTGATCGCCGGTTTGTTTCTGTCATTCATTTACTATCCTATCTGTCATTATATATCTGATGGTTTGTCTCTCTGTCTTCAGGGACTGGAAGTAATTGTCTTCTCTTCAATGGGGATCAGTCGTCGGTGAAGTGCGGCGGTTGGGGTCACGTGTTGGGAGATTACGGTCAGTTGCGGTGTCACGCGATGTGAGTCCTGTCTAACTCCTGTGCCCACCACAGGCTCTGCCTATTGGATCGCAAACGAAGCGATTCGAGCCGTCATCGAAAGCGAAGAGAACTTCCGGACCATTCCGTTCAACGTGTCGGCCGTCAGGAGAGCGGTCTTCGAGCACTTCCAAGTGGTGGCGATTTCGCAACTCCTGTCGCCCGCGTACTCACACTTCGACAAACGACACTTCGCCGCCGTTTGCAAGAGTATCGCCGAATTGGCCGTCAAAGACAACGACCCGCTCGCCAAAGACCTCTTCAGTCGCGCCGGACGTGTGCTCGCAGAACACATCAACGGAGTCCTCCCCAAAGCTGATCCCGTGAGTGATGGCAATGCCTTCGTCTCTCTAACCGTATGCCTCTGTTTCAGTGCCTTCTGAGCCGTTCGGGTGGTCTTCCCGTTGTATGCGTTGGCTCTGTATTCAAGTCTTGGAGTCTTCTCTCGAAAGCATTTTTTGAGACCATTTCCGATAAAATACCAGAAATATCTTTCAAACGTCTGGTGAAAAGCAGTGCCTTTGGGGCCGCTCTGAATGCCGCCAAACATAGCGGCCATACAATCGACTTTGACTTCGAGTCCAATTCACAACTTTTAGAGCACTTCTCTCGCAGACAATGAGATTATTAATAGAAATAATAATTACTTTAAATAAACTAAACATTAATTTAATTTAGAAGATATTAATTGAACGCACGATTAAAATAAGTTATTTTATGAAAATATTCAATAAATTCATAGTTTTTAACACAAGTTTTGTTTCGTTAAAAAGTCATTACAATATATAAAATGTATGATTCAGTGAAATGTCCACCAATTATAGGCATCATTAGACCCATTGCCCGACCAAAGCCATGACCGAAAACTTATTATTGTTGGGCTGTCGGGCCATCGCTTGACGGCAAACGCGGGCCGCGTCTGACAGAAAAGTGTCTTCCGATGTGCGCCCGAAACCGACCGCTTGATCCCGAGTGGCGTCACACAGATATAGCCATCCGTTGCAGTGGACGAGAGGCACAAAGTGGCCGTCACTGGAGTCGTCGGGCGGCGCCTCTGTCTGGCCCTCAACAGCGAATACGTGATGAATATCGCGTATGTCTTCGTTGGACACAAACAGCCGTCCGCTCTCTTCGGCGGACATACCGCGGGTCGAGTCGAGAAACTTCTTGAGACACGAATCCTCTGTGAATCGGATCCGATGACAGTTATTGGCGATGGCGTGGAGGAGAGCGATAGTACCGCACGCGCCGCCAACACGTTGTCTCATGAAATACAGGTCTTTGTCGACCTCCACAGTGTTGTCGCCCAAATCTCCCACACGTCTGGTCTCGTCCTCGTAGTCCGGGTACAGAAGTACTAGCGACAGAACCGGTCCCTCAATGAATGGCAACAACTCTTCGTCCACTCCCAACACATCCACGACTCGACAGCTGTCGTCCGCCACTCCTAAGGCGCTCAAGAACTTGTTGATCACATCGGGGTTGGACTCAATGGGTATCCAATCAGGTTCTTCGGCACTCATATTCTTCGGCGGTTATAAAGTTACGATCAAATGAAGAGATGTTTGGTTTGAATCACTGTTTGTGTGAATGACTGGCATTTCATTGGACGCCAGACTTCACTCTTGTATTGCATTCAATAACGCAATGCATTTCAATGCAAACGTATTTTAGTGTAAGTTTTGGTACTTTTTATGGCAACGTTTGTATGCGTTATAAAGCGTTAACTTTGGATTAAAAGGTGTGAAATGTTTGTTCAATAGATGTTATGCTTTGAAAGTTGTTTTTGCTTTGATGTCACAAAACTTGAAATCCAATTGCCATACAATCGACTTTGATTTCGAGTCCAATTCACGACTATTAGACCACTTCTCTCGCAGACAATCATATTATGATAGATATATATTTTAATTAACTTAACGTTAATTTAATTCAGATATGAGTTGAATGTATAATTAAAATAAATCATTTTACGATATAACAAATAAATTAAGTTTTGTTTCGTTAAAAACACTATCAATAATAAAATACATAAATTAAACACCAATTATAGGCGGCATTAGTCCCACTATGAGTCCCACCGCCCGACCAAAGCCATGACCGAAAACTTCATATTATTCTCGTGTTTAGCCATCACTTGACGGCAAACGCGGGCCGCGTCTGACAGGAAAGTCTCTTCCGATGTTTTGCCGAAACTGACGGCTCGATCGCGAGTAGCGTCACAATGACCGAAAACTTCATATTATTCTCGTGTTTAGCCATCACTTGACGGCAAACGCGGGCCGCGTCTGACAGGAAAGTCTCTTCCGATGTTTTGCCGAAACTGACGGCTCGATCGCGAGTAGCGTCACACAGATATAGACCGCCGTTGCAGTGGACGAGAGGCACAAAGTGGCCTTCGCTGCCGCCGTCGGGTCGGGGCTGTGTCTGGCCTTCGCTGGCGAATAAGCCATGGATTTCACATATCTCTGCGTTCTTCGCAAACAGTCGTCCGCTCTCTTCGGCGGACATACCGCGGGTCGAGTCGAGAAACTTCTTAAGACACGAGTCGTCTGTGAATCGGATCCGATGACAGTTGTTGGCGATGGCGTGGAGGAGAGCGATAGTACCGCAAGCGTTGCCAACGAGTTGTCTCATAAAATACAGGTCTTTGTCGACCTCCACAGTGTTGTCACCCAAATCGGCCGCACGTTTGGTCACGTCCTCGTAGTCCGGGTACAGAAGTACGAGCGACAGAACCGGTCCCTCAATGAATGGCAGCAACTCTTCGTCGACTCCCAACACATCCACGACTCGACAGCTGTCGTCCGCCACCCCTAAGGCGCTCAAGAATTTGTTGATGACATCGGGGTTGGACTCAATGGGCACCCAAACGGGTCTTTCGGCACTCATTTTCTTCGGCGGTTTCAAAGTTGCGGTCAAATGAAGACTCTTTGAAGTGATGTTTGGTTTGAATCACTGTTTGTGTGAATGACTGGCAATTCATTGGACGCCAGACTTCACTCTTGTTTTGCATTGCATTTCAATGTAAATGTATTTTAGTGTAGGTTTTGGTACTTTTTATGGCAACAATTTTCTACGCTATAAAGCGTTTGGCCTTTGGTTTAAAAGGTCTGAAATGTTTGTTCAATAGATGTTATGCTCTAAAAGTGATTTTTGTTTTGATGTCACAAAACGTATTACAAAAACATATGAAATGCAAAAACAATTGACGAAAACATTTGTGAGAAAAAAATAGTTTACGAGAAATATGTGTTGAAAAGCAATAGTTTTGGTCACAAAAGCGAGGATCAGATCAAAGACATGAGACGATAGGCATCGCGTGTGCGACGACACCACACGAGGACATCGGATTCAAACGATAGCATCCAATCGGTGGCCAAAACGATGAGATAATGGACGCCAAGAATCACTACCACAACAACAACAACAATATGTCCGCAAACAGTGGCCACATGTGTGCGGCCGCCGCCCCATCGCCGCCACCGATGACGGCCACCAAATGCCAGTCATTCGGGTCGACGACCACACCGTCGATGGCGGCGGCCGTCGGACGCGTCCAATACATCTATGAGTTGCCCTACAATTGTCGCAAACAGTTGTGCGATCTCTTGGACGCGGACCAGTCGTGGCGCCAATTGGGCGGTCAGTACATGAATCTGAACGACACGTCGCTGACGCTGATATCGCACGCACTGATCCGCAACTCTTCGCCCACTAATGAGTTGCTCACCAAATGGGAGACGAGTGCCGCCAAAGTGAGCCAATTGTTTGTCTTTTTGGCACAAATGGGACACAAGAGAGCGATGTTTATACTGCGGCCGTATGTCGAGCAACGGCTTCGCCAGTTGTGTCCAGACGTGGATTGCGATGAAGACAATTACGATCTGTCGGCCATTCAAGCGGTGGCCGCGGCTATGAATCCCTCAAATCAGATGCAAAACAATCTCTTTCTCGATAATAATGGCAAACATTTTGAACAAAACAGCACTAAATATGGTATGAATTGTTTGGAAAATTAATAACATTTTTGTATTTAATTATTTCATTTGTTTCGATCACGTCTTCAGATTCAACACAATTGATGACTGAAAAGAAGATACTTAACAAAAATCTCAACGATTTGGACACTAATCTCAATCACAATAATCTCAATAATAGTAATCCAATGAACGAATTGAATGGCGAAAAGCAAACGCATTGCGATAAAAGTGATAATAAGGGCGACAAGTGTTCGGCCGATACTAATTGTGACGAAATGGAAGTGCCGTACAAAGAGCTGCTCATCGCCACCGACGACTTCGCTAAGGATAGGGTTTTAGGCAACGGAGGCTTTGGCACCGTATATAAGGGCGAGTGGAAGGGCACTAATGTGGCCATTAAGCGACTCAAAGGCTTCAACGACAAGTCCCAGGCGTTGACTGAACTCCGAGTGCTCAACAGATACCGAATCGACAATATTTTGCCCATTTATGGCGTCAGTCTCGATGGCGTCGAGCCGTGTCTTGTGTACCAATATATGCCAAACGGATCGCTAGAGGATCGGCTTCTATGCAAAGCCGGCACAAAACCTCTTTCGTGGTCCCAACGAATCAATATCGGCGAAGGCATCGCCCGAGCGCTCAATTACTTGCACACACTTAAGGGCAATGCCTTCGTTCACGGAGACGTCAAGAGTGCGAACGTACTCTTGGATCCGCTCTTCGAGCCAAAGTTGGGCGACTTTGGTCTCGCCAGACAAGTCAACTCCGGCAGTGGTCTCTATACGCACTGTACGGTCAGCGCAGTCCACGGCACGAGTGTTTACCTCCCGTTTGAGTATCTGAGGCAACGAATCCTGAGCCCAGCCGTTGATGTCTACAGTTATGGCATTGTTTTGCTTGAGATGGCGACCGGAAAACGCGCTTTCGATGGCAAGAGACTACTCATTGACTTCATTGAGGATGAGATCAAAGCGACAGAAAAAGACGGCAATAAAGACCACACAAAACTGTTGGACAAACGTATAGCTGATGGCAATGAATCAGTCAATTGGTTCGAGTGTTTGTTAGATTTGGGTCGAAAGTGCGCCCATAGGTCTAAGAATAGACGGCCCCCAATGATCCAGGTATTGATCCGTTCAGTGTTTGTCTGAAACAATATTTATTGATTGGTTTTATGGTTTGCGTGAATAGGTTTTGGAATACTATAATCAATACAAGACAAGCGAACGGATCCGTCGATTGAGCGCCGAAGCGAGCAATCATAAGAAGAATACCATAAGTATCTCAAAGTCAAACATTAAGACCCCATTAGAACTGCAGCTCTGGTACGATATGGTGCGCAAGACTGGCGGCCCTCAAAGCGAGACCTGTTGCCCAACTAGAGCAATCATAAGAAGAATACCATAAGTATCTCAAAGTCAAACATTAAGACCCCATTAGAACTGCAGCTCTGGTACGATATGGTGCGCAAGACTGGCGGCCCTCAAAGCGAGACCTGTTGCCCAACTCTGGGCACTGAACCCAATATGGATGACTTCGACAGCTCTATAGCACTGGACACTGACGACCAAAATGAGACCGAAAGCGATGTTTTCAATTGCGAACAAAACACTGAACCCATTGAACAGATGGCAGAGACAGTTGGCGATGGCGGCGGAACCGATGTGTCCATCGGTGTGTTGCCATTGATTACCGAATTAGGGATCAGTAGTGATGCCAGCGCTGGCACTGAAGCTCAAGAATCAGATTAGTTATGTTTTTATTTGTTTTTTAAGTTTCTTTTACTTTTGAAACATGTTTCGCAAAATAAGACTTATTTTTATCACTTTTTTCGTAACCATTTATACATTCCTTTTTGATTATGAATTTTAATTGCAATCATTTTGTTGTCATTTTATATTATATTATTGTATTCCGAAAGCAATTAATTACTTAATATTATTGTTTTAAATATTGTTTTATTTGCTATAAACCGAACGAAAAGTGCAAAATAATCACAAATTTATATATGATTTATGTTTTGTTTTTATATACCGTTTAGTATTAATCGAGAAAATAACTCAATTATTGAAAAGTATTTTTATAAATGCAATAATTTATATATGTTTTTACAGAATAATCGTTTTAATTGTTAGTTTTTATACGTGTAATGAATTACTGTTTTTTATTATAGATGGAAATATTTAATGAATTGTTTTTTATAAATCATTGAATGATTGAATTTACTGTTATATTGAAACCCAGAATATTTTTCTATCATTTTGTATTGTTTTTGGTACAGAAATAATGAATTGATGTGACATTTGAGATAAATAATGGGTAATTGTATTCATTATTATTATATTAATAAAATTTTATATTATTTTTGATTAACTATTTGGAGAAATAGTTTTGGTTTTTGCAATCATTTGCTCAATAAATTTGTATTAGAATTTCGTTTATTTGTTTAGCAAATGAATCGATTAAACGATGAAATTATCAATTATTTCATTCATTTTATTGTATTTTGCAAAACGATTAGTTTGTATTGAAATTGCGGGCATTAATAGGGATAAGCATTGCGAAGACCAGTGCGCCGATGGTTTCAAATGCCTGACCAACGAATGGCTGGTCTGTAAATGGAGACAATTGTCTGATCGGTCAATAGTTTGTTGTCTTAATCGGCGGACAAACGATAAGAGTGTGAAAAATTCAATGCAAACGAGCGGTCATTACCAGCAAATGAATTGTGCGAACAGTCGTCGTCTATCCAAACGAAGTTTTCTACAATTGTTCAACAATTTATTCGCCCCTAACGTTAGGCCGAAGCCAGTGGTCGCAGACACCCGAACCCACTATCCGTGGATGGTTTCGGTGCAGGAGTTTGAGGGCCACATATGTGGCGGCGCTATCATCACTGACCACATTGTTGTGACCGCCGCCCACTGTTTTCGGCCACTTTTGTGGGTATTCTTTATGTTTAAACACTTTTGTGCTTTAATTATAAATCCTTTATTAACTTTTAATTATAAATTGATTGAATGTTTAACTCCATTATCAAGTGATTCGAGTGTTATAAGGGATTCTTAGCCAAGGTTAGCCAATTCGCTACCGGTTTTCTATAGCCAAAGCGCATATTATTCTGTGCTTGATATGAAAGTCAGGCTCAGGATAGTGCTGTAGCGTTATTATCACTGGCTTTAAGCCATAAAATTTGACAAAACAGTAAACATTATATGTATTCCCGCGTCGGATATCACTGTTGACCAATTGGTCGGCCGCTGGAGCACAGTATTGGGCTTCGGGAATGTTGATTACGGCGGCGACTTATCTCAAGCGCTCAAACAAATAAAGGTTCAAATTATTGATACCAAAGACTGCGCCAACAGGTATGCCATCGGAGACAAACATAATATACCGATAGGTATACAGGAGTGCATGATATGCGGCAATCCTGGCGGCAGTTCCGATGCCTGTCAGGGAGATTCAGGTGAGGGGACAGGCGTTTAAAACTTAATACTCTACTAATAAACATCTAAATTGAAAGGCGGACCGATGTCTATCACCCTAAACGGTGTCCACCATTTAATAGGCATCGTATCGTTTGGCCGCAAATGCGGAACCGTTAAAATTCCCGGCGTTTACACGAATGTTATATATTATCGTAAATGGATTTTCGGACAAATAGCTAGAATTGGCACTTAATTTGGTTTTTCGTCAAAAGTATTTATTGTCAAATAAATAAATGTTTTCACTAACAGTATTAGTGATAACCGTTTGTAACACTCAATTAAATAGGGTTTAAATAAATAGTATAAGGTTTTAGCGCACAGTCGACGGCTTACTCTCGGTGTATGTCTTGAAAAAGTCCACAAACTCTGGCGAACTCTCGATAATCTCGATGAAGGCGTTGATCGGCGATTTGCTGACCGCTTTCTTCAGCTTAATATCATTCAAAAAGCGGTACTTTTCGTGTATGGAATCGCACTTATCGTTGTCCGCCTGATATTCACCGCAAAAGTTCTCAACCATTCGGCCCGCGATCTCAGTCAGTATGGAGTGAAGACCATTAACGCTGCCGTCCGGACACAACTGGCCGCCCACTCGGTGTAGGCTATCTTCGTAACAGTGATCGAAACGATGGTAAATACTATACAAATTGAAATACAACATAGAATTCGTTATTTTAAATGCTTTAACAACACTGGATATTATGGCCGCCGACTGACCAACAAATGAGTGCCCCCTTATCCTTGTCAACAATGTTGTCTTTGGCGGCGTTAACCCTCTCCTGCTCTAAGATATATTGGTTCCAACACTTGACCGTCTCGTTGAGGGCGGCGTTACCACAGGTGGACCACGACATGTATAGTTTGCTCAGTTTCACTGAATCGCAGTACTTCTTGGTCACGGCCTCCATGTCTTTGACGGCCATTGAGGTGACGTCATATGCGAGTCCGTTCAGACACTTCTCGACGTATCGCCGGACCCATTGGGTTCTCTCCCTGTCCTCTCTGACAAGTGATAATTTATTGGTTTAACCAACTTTTTAAGCTTCTATGTAAACATTAATTACTTACTTGCATTGTTTGTCAAATTGAACTTGGTTAGAGGGATATTTGCCGTTTTGGTCACCAAATGTGGACACTTCCATCGCAAACTGATCCATCTTTTCTCTGGCTTTCGTATTGCATTCAATGGGCTCTTCTTTGGCTAAACACAAACCAATTGATAAATAAATTATAAGACATTTGATATGCATTTCTCTAAAACAATGTCCGCAAAATTGACAAA